TTCGAGAATTTTATAGTCGAATTTTTGGTGAACTCAAGTGGAGAGTGTTTTAATTTAGACTTTGGTAATTTTAATTCGAAAATTCCCAATTTTAAATTTAAATTCTTCTCTGGATACAACTTTTTTGAATTCAAATGGCAGATTCGAGTAGCTTGATTTTGATCAGGTGATAATTCTCGCACGGATGCCTCAATTAATATATAAAAATAGTTCATTTACCTAACAAAAGTCCAGAGATAGGTTCATATTTATTCAAAAGATGCACCACGTACGACGCAGTGAAAGCTTCCTCGAGGCCGGTGTTGCTCGTAACGTTGCAGTACGGCCCGTGATTGATATTCAAGAACACTGAACAAACGAAGAGTAACCAGCCACCATTAACGAACTTAGAACACAAGTGAAAACCACAACGATACAAACTTTACATACCAGACAAAACCGCGTCGCCGGGAATTTCGAATAAACTTCTATTCTTCGGACACATTGCCTGATCATCCATTGCCAGAATTGTCTGCACGACACTCAGAAGAATCACCAAAATCTTCGGCAACATATTTCCCCCGTTTGAGAATGCTGAGATCAAATCGTGTGATTATTCTTCTTCATTGAACGAGAATATCAGGCAAATCCTGCAAAGGGGACAGGTTTCCAACATTGTAACCTGTTTAATCGATAGTTCGTTCAGACGGGGAGCTCGGTTCCTCGTTTAATTTTATTAGTGGTGAAAATTATGTTTGTTTCTTCGGGAGAAATTGTTTTTAGATACTCGTCGGAAGATCCGTCCTTTTTCGAAGAGTGAAAGTAATTCTTAAAAATGTTTGAAAATATTTCTGTTGGTGAGTTGAATCATTCGACGTTAAAATGTTCGAAAATTCGTCAACTTCAGACTCTTCTCACTCGATTCTGTTATACATAGTCTACCTTGCAAAAATTTGTTAATAATATTCGAAGATTGTCCGACAGGTTTATTTACGATTATAGTCGATCCAAAGGTTATTTAATCTTCTGTTAATGATAGAACTATGCGATTCATTCATTCATTGAAAAGGGAATTCCCCTCGGGAACAGGAAAAAGCAGACACAAGTTTGTCCAGTCGAGTTCGATTTTATCATATAACGGAAATAAAATTCATTCAACTGCACTCACAACTGTCAAGGAAAACACATTTCCTTCAATCGATAGATCACTTGATTTTATTTGAGAACTACTCTTGCTCCTTCGAGAGAATCCTTAAAAAAAAAAAAAAAAAAA